TGGGATTATGTGTATTTATTCACAAAGTTATGTGTATTTGTTCATACAGTTATGTGTATTGGTTCATATAGTTATGTACATTTTTTATACAATTATGTACATTCTTTTTATACAATTATGTACATCCGAATCAGAAAATTTGTGTGTATTATGTTAAGAGTTGATGTGTATTATGTTAAAAGTTTATGTTTATTATGTATTATGTTAGATTATGTGTATTATCTTTTAAAAAGAGTATGTATATTTTGTTATATAATTATGTACATTCATGTATACAATTATGTGTATTCTAGTATAACATTATGTACATTCTTGAACAACGGGTTTTTTTTTAAAGAAAAAACTACTGCCATTCACTAGGGCGGGAAATTAAAAAATAAATAAATAAATTAAAACGACGTCGTTTTGCATCTGGGTGCATAGTGCAACGCGCGCCGTGGTGTAGGATATAAATTGCCTGAAATTACCGTAAATTATACTATGGACCAGGGTCTATCTTGCATTTTAGATTCTAATTCAAATAATTTTGATTTTGTATATATAGTTAACATATTCTGTATCTGTAATTGATAATTTCTGTATTTATAGCTATCATATTATGTTTCAGCAATTATTAACTCAGATTTTATATCTATGACACATTTTGTATCTGCAGTTGATAGCTTTTGTACCTGTAGCTATAGATAGATATTATGCATGTGGGATAATTGAAACATTTAATCATTATGAGTAATGGTTGTGGAAGTCTCATTAACTTGAAGGGATTGCATGAGTGAAAATAATTCAAAGTAAATGTTCTAATTATCCCACTTCTTTTGAAAATGAATTGTCCCACTTTAATTACCCTTCAATAATGGTTTTTCATAGCCTTCATATTTTCTTTGGTAATTAAAGTGGTTAATGAAGGAGTTGTATGAGTAGAAAAGTTTTAAAATTTTTTTTTAATTATTTCTTCTTTCCCAGATACTGCTTACTGAACTAGTGAGTTAAATTCGTACGGGTAAAAAAAAAAAACAATTATTTCTAAGTGTTGGATGGTGATGTTGTGATATGGTATTGAAAGTTCAATCTTGATATTTATCTGCTGTCTAATTCTTTTAATTCATAGATTAACTTCATTAATCATGAGAAAAAGATCTAGACAAAAACTCAAGTTACACTTTTAGTAAATGATATTGAAAAAGTATTTGATATTGTTTGACATATTTTTATATATCATATTCCCTAGGAGTACGATGAAGTGGCGGATTGATTGACTAAGATTGTCTTCCCGCAAAAATTATCTAGTTTCAAGATCCTCGCTCAAGTGAATATTAGAGACATTCTCAAAAATGATAGAGCGAGGATGGCACCCCAAAAGGATAGTCCATATATAGTTTGTTTTCGGCCGTAACATTTTTTACAACGATTTAGTTGATTATGCATCTAATTCTAATTCCTTTGAATGTCAACGCTCTGCTCCAAAGGTGACCAGTCCTCGTCAAAATGTTCCACTATTGCAATTAAAATTAGAAGGCATAGTTCCAAAAGAGGTGATTGAGTGGATAAAATATGATTTAATTTCTGTATCTAATTTTGTCACAGGTAAGTTTAATTCTTCCAAACATCATTTTGTATGCATTGTTCTTTCATTTTAACACAATTACAGTTTCATTTCAATTCAATTGCAGTTTCATTTGATAATATAATAAAAATAATACGTGAGACAATGTCAGTTCAAATATACTATAGTGTCTGCCGTTTTGGACCATGGTCCACAGTATAATTGTTGATATTAATGATACCAGGCCACCATGCATCGCCACCCAAGTTGTCCAAATCATCATCAAAAGTGTATATTGTCTAGCGAAATTGTAGTTATATCAAAATGATGTTGTAGTTGTGTTGTGAAATGAAACTATAGTGCGTATTTGATGCCTGGACCACAATGCATTATGGACCGTGGTCCACAGTATAATTTGCCCGTTAATATGTTCTAGTATTGTTTGACAAGGCACATTTGTATGGTTTACATTAGGGTATCTTTTTGGTGAAAGTGTATATGAATCCAAGCTTAGAGATATATTCAATTCATTAGCCTTCGCGGTCATGAAAGATGAGAATGGAGAAATATAATTTAGCCACGATTTTTGTTGAAAAAATATTGAAAGTGATGTTGGTTAACGTAGGATAGTTATAGTAAGATGAAATGAGATCTATACATTGCATGTATGTTACAATTGTTGTCCTTTTTTTTTTTTTTTTTTTTTTTTGAGTACTTTTGACTCTATTACAATGTAATATATGTCCATACATATATTAAAATGTAGTATCTGTCCATACATATTTTCTCAATCTATTGAAGCACAACGAGTTAATGTCTCCACGACGACTCTACTAGAGTTCAAACTTGTGACCTCTCATTTGAGAGAGCCACAACTATGTCTCTTGATCATAAGGTTTTTGAATTGACTCCACTCCTCTAGTTACTTTGGAGGAAAACTTAGAGATCAAAGGGATTTTGAAATGTAGCATAAACCTTAGCTTCACAACTTGCTAAATACAAAATGTAACAAGTTTATAGTATACATTGAAAAGCTATGATTGATCCAAAGAGAAAGGTCCGAACAAGTAAAAGATCGATTATTATACGGTGGTCATAAATACACTTTTAAAACTTTTTCAAAATAACATTTTGTACTTAAAATATATTAAAACAACCTCAACAATTGAAGTATATATTTTCTTCAATTTTTTGGTGCCCTAACATTCACCTCAAGTCCTCAATACCTACTATCTCACTTAATTTTAAAAACTATGATCTTTTTTTTGGACCCACCATTTTAAATATATTTTAATTATTTCTTCATTTATTATAATTTTAAATTTGTAATTGTAATTAAAATTAATTCTTTAAAATAAACATACCAACATTTAATTTCATTGATAATTATTATAAAATTAAAATTAAATTACTATTTGCTCAAAATTAAAACATACTACATAGTTGTTAAAAAACATTTCTATAAAGATTTGTCATCTGCCAAAGACCTTATAGTCAAGCGGAATAACTGTGACTCTTCCAAATGAGCACTAGTTTGAGCAAATGAACAATGCATGATATAGTGATGGAATGTCACTTTTGACTAGAATGACGGTGCAAATGTGCAGTAAAGCTATCAGAAAAAAAAATCGTTTATTTAATTTCTTGTTTAGTCCTATTAATTCTTTTCAACTTCAGAACAAAGGAGTTAATAACAATATATTTTTCTTTACTATTTATAACAAGCTTACAACTAAGTTAAATCCTTTATTTTTAAGTTCACAAATTATTCAAATTTAGTATTACTCTCAAATTTAAGGGTGTAAGTGAATAAAGTTTTTAATAAATTATTTGTGTTTGTGTTCAGTAAGCGTTCATTTATTAAAGTAAATGAACATAAATTAACAAATTTTAGAGCTGATTTAATAAACAAATGTCTGACTATTTGTATTTGTATGCTTGTTTGCTAAGAGTTTGTGAAAGTGTTCGATAGTGTTCATTTAATAATGTTCATAAACTGATTTTTTTAGTGTTCGTTTAAGTGTCCACGAACATGCTCATTTAAGATGGTTCACAAACAATTTTAAAATACTACGGTTGACATTGAAAATTTGATAAAAGATAATATTAAAATATTTGAATATATTTTGGATAATATTGATATTATCTAATTTGTTTAATTAGATAATACCAGTAGAGTTTGAACTTATCAAAACTCTTCTTATCTAGGAGCTCTCATTCATCCTAGATAAAAATATGTAAACATCTAGAAAATATTATTCAGAGATCACAATAAAATGATCCTGAAAGTAAAAAAAAAAAAAAAAAAAAACCCTCCCTGCACCAATCATGCTGATCGAAGCCTCCATTGAAGATTAAGTCATTTGAACCCGGAGGCCCTTCAACCCTTCAACGAAGAACAAACATATAAGCTCTTCTTTGAAGATCAAGCCACTTGAATTCCGGAGGCCCTTCAAGGGAGTGTTCAAGGCATACAAGTGAAGAATCAAAGGACTACAGTGCACAAATCATGTACTCACACTGCATTGAAACTACTTGTAACTGCACGACCCAACTACTTGTAACTGCACTTTTGAATTTTAATATATAATTCAATTTTCTTTGTTCATACCGGGTGTGTCAATTTGTGAATAAAGAAAATTGAATTATATATTTAAATTCAAAATTCTGGTTACAAGTAGTATCAATGCGGTGTGGGTGTAGGTACAAGATCTTTGTGTAGTCTTCTAATTCTTTACTGGGATGCCTTGAATATTCTATTAAAGGGGCCTCCAGAATTCGTTCAAGGTTTGAATCTAGAGGTTTGAATCAACATTATTGGCATTATCTTCATGGAGGATCTTTTACTTTTCAGGATAGGTTTGGATTAACATGATTGACATGATTTTCAAGATGTTTCTACGATGATTTAAGATGTCTTCAAGATCTTTATGAGAGTTCCTATTTATAGTTGTAAGATAGGTAGAGTTCAAACTCTTTTATATTATCTAATTAAACAAATTAGATAATATCAATATTGTCCAAAATATATCTAAATATTTAATATTATCTTTATCCGATTTTCAATGTCAACAACTACTTTAGTTTATCCTAATTTTTTTTTATAGTCATTATGTTATTTGTTTGGTTATTGTTCATTAACATATGCTATTTTTTGTTTACGAACAAATGAAGATCATGAATCTATACATGTGTTTACTTGTTTAGTGTTCGCTAATATTAACAAACAAATTCATTAGTGTTTGTTAACATAATTGCAAACATTAATGAACTAACATGAACAACCTCTATTTGTTCGTGTTTGGTTACTTAACAACCCTGTTGAATCAAGAATGCTTGCTAAATAAAAATTAAATGTTTGATACGTTGATACCTATATTATTAAAATCATTGTTCTAAAAAAAAAAAAAAAAATGGGAAACATAAAACAAGTGAAAAGTGGAAATTGAGTAGTCTCTTCCAGCCTATTGTCCAAAACTTGATGAAATTCCCACCAACTTCGAATCCAGAAACGACAGTCCACGCACTTTCAATCTCATAATTCTCAACCGTTAAACCCATGAACAGTACACCAATCGGAGGAGCGATACCTGAGCAAGCCGAATCTGCAAAGTGGACTTCCTTTTGAATTTTGATCCTCATCCGCAAACATCTATCCCCGCCCCCATTCTGCAGAATCCTGGATATCGCAATTGGCTGCCTGCGCATTCCGTGCCGTGCTTGCCGAATCCTCTCCTTTCCGCGAGCATAGATTCTCGCTTTTCTCTATTTCCTGCTCTCTATGGTTTGCAATTCGCGATTCCGTTTCTGGTGAATTTATCCTGTTTTATTACTTTACAGCTTTTCAGCATTTCCTTTTGTTATAAATACCGACGAGCCGCAGAAGGTGAACTCACGCTGCGATCGGGCTTTCTATTGGAGCATAGGGCACAGGTATGTTGAATTTCTTCAAATTAATCGTTTTGTTTTCCCTGTTAAATGAACATTTAGTGATCAAGCTGGCCAGTGGTGAGGCTTATTTGATTTTGAGTCACAATACCAAACTGCCTGTGTATTATCCAACCATTATGTTTGATTTGTTTAACTTAATGCATGCACTTTTTTGTTTCTTCTTGCTCTATCTGTACGGAATACTATAATTTTTGGTTTTAGATGTGTTATTTTGTATTCATATTCATGTATTTTGATGGAATCATCACTCATGGATGACAGTATTTATTGGATGCAGGACACTGTTCTCGTGCCTCGATCACTCTGAAATTGCGCTTGATTGGATATGGGTTATCATACCAATGTATGCATCCTAATCCATTTTGTTTCTATTCATTGCTCCTTTCCTTTTCATCATCTAAACATTTAGAGACCAAAATATGGAGAATTGATTATGAGATCATTAAGAGGAAAAACAGAGAGTTAAAATAAAAAGTACAAAGAAGTTTATCACTGATATATTGTATCAGTGGACTTGGGGGATGTTTTCTTTCGTTATCTGATCTTAGATTCTTTGCTGTACAGGGATGGGATAATAACTCGCAACAGAATGACCCCTGTAAGTGCTCTGTTTTCGTTTAGAAATCTGCTCTCATTGCTATTGACTATGCTTTCATATATTGGATTATTTATTTATGATAGAAAGCCTTGAGAAGCTTGTAATTTTCTTATAAATCTAATCTAAGTTGGGAAATGATACAAGTAAATGATACTAACTGAATTTTGGTCTGGCATATTTCAGTGGTTGTGATACGCAATGGACAAGAGATCATCTTACAGGTGACTTGATTATGTTAAAATTTTTACTTTTCCTGTTACTACAAAGAAAAAAATTTGAATTATTTGATGCATATTATGATGAGAGATCTTCATAGTTCAGATAGGAAGCATGTTTCTTTATCTATATTCATTAGGCAATTGCTTGACTTTGCTATTTGCTCTGTGATCTCAAGAGTCATGCAAATTTTAGGGAGCTGAATGCTGGCTCAATTTATTTGGTGTGGAGTAACTACTAAGAAATTATAAAATGATAAAGTTAGAAGCCAAGTGCCTCTTTCGCTGAAGAACAGATCCTTTGTAAATTTAATAGTAATGATGACAACAAGAAGTGATGTATATGCAGGCTTTCAATTGGGAATCTCACAAGCATGATTGGTGGAGGAACTTAGAGAGAAAAGTTCCTGATATTTCAAAATCTGGATTTACAAGTGCATGGTTGCCTCCGGCTTCTCATTCCTTTTCACCAGAAGGTTAAAGCCAAAAATACTTTTGTTGAAGTTGAACCAATATTTTGCTTCCCTTTCTACTGCTATACTGGAAATGTTTCTCTTATCTCATGACAGGTTACCTTCCACAAAATCTCTATAATCTCAATTCTTCATATGGTTCTGAACACCTCTTAAAGGCTCTACTCAATAAGATGAAGCAGTACAAAGTTAGACCAATGGCTGATATAGTCATAAATCATCGTGTTGGGACTACTCAAGGGCATGGTGGGAGGTATAACCGATATGATGGAATTCCATTGCCTTGGGATGAGCATGCTGTTACATGTTGTAGTGGTGGACTGGTAAGAATATTACACAAAGTCTTAAAGCTAAACTCTAGGAGAAATCTACCAGATGGTATATAATATTTGAAATGTTAGAAATACCAAATGCTTTTATCGTATCTAAATTAAATTAAAGCATTTTTCTCTTTGCTTTATCCATCTAATTTTGCCTTTCAGGGCAACAGAAGCACTGGAGACAATTTTCATGGTGTTCCAAATATCGATCATACTCAAGGCTTTGTTCGAAAGGACATTATTAACTGGTTACGATGGCTAAGATACAGTGTTGGGTTCCAAGATTTTCGTTTTGATTTTGCCAAAGGGTAGAGAATATGTTGAGCTTTTAATTCTTTTTCACTTTTCCATCCTCCTCTCATTCAATTTATTCTTATTGCTAATCTTTTATTGGATGCATATATAGGTACTCCACGAAGTATGTGAAGGAATATATAGAGGGAGCAAAGCCAATATTTTCTATTGGTGAATATTGGGATACATGCAATTATAGAGGCACCTATTTGGATTACAACCAAGGTACTCTGCTTTCTACTAAAGTTTTCCTCTCTTTATATTTCTATGTGACTTTCTCCTTATATTTTAACTTTTTCCCTTTTAAATCTCATGCAGATAGTCACAGACAAAGGATCATTAACTGGATTGATGGAACTGGGCAACTTTCAGCTGCATTTGATTTCACAACTAAAGCAATCCTACAGGTTTTCTTTTTTCACTTTAAATGTTTATGCCCTCTTTTAAATGACCTTTAGTCACTAGGTTGTTTATCAATGTAAATCCTCTTCTACTAAGATTATATTCTTAGGAACTATCTACATCGAATATCTTAAGGAGTTAAGGTATTTGTATCTCTATCGAAATTGAATTGCCTGCAAGTTTAGTTTCTTATTTCTCATCTGAAGCTCTATGTAGAGCATTTTATGCAACTAAATTAGGTGGATTAATAAATGAAATTGACCTACAATCTATTTAGGAAGCTGTGAAAGGAGAATTCTGGCGTCTGAGAGACGCTCAAGGGAAGCCTCCAGGAGTCATGGGATGGTGGCCTTCAAGGGCTGTCACTTTTATTGATAACCATGACACGGGATCCACTCAGGTGACCTTTTATTGTTTTCTAAATGTCTTTAAGTTGTGCATTGCATCTTTTGGAATGGGGTTATGTAATCTGCTCTCTCTCTCTCTCTCTCTCTCTCTCTCTCTCTCTGATATGGCTAGCTATTTCTGTACAAACAGTGCCCGTTTTCCTTCAATTACTTTGCTAACTAAAGAAGTACTGCTCTGTGCAGGCTCACTGGCCTTTCCCTTCCAGTCATATTATGGAGGTATAAAGAAATATTTTCAATCAACTGTCTTTTGAGGCTTTACAAGTTTTATTTTGTTTTTGGCAATAGATTAATGTCTCTTATATTTGTTCTCTAATGCTTGTCAACTCCAGGGCTATGCCTACATACTAACTCATCCAGGGATGCCAGCAGTATTTTACGATCATTTCTATGACTGGGGAAATTCACTTCATGACCAAATCGTTAGGCTGGTATGTTAATTAAGCACCACCTTATTCAATTCAATAATCTCTACATAACTAGTTTGTGATTTTTCTTCTATTTTCCTATATTATAAACAAAGTTGAGTATTTGTTTAACTCCCGGATTGCATTTATAGATTGATATCCGGCGCAATCAAGGCATAAACAGCAGATCATCTATAAGAATTCTCGAGGCTCAGCCAAATGTATATGCAGCAATAATTGGAGAAAAGATTTGCATGAAGATCGGTGATGGGTCGTGGTGCCCGGCTGGGGCAGAGTGGAGACTTGCAACTAGTGGCCACCGCTATGCAATCTGGCAGAAGTAACAATCTCTTGGCGGTAATGAGCACCCATCTTGTGAAAGATTGGGGGAATTTGTCATCAGGTATAACTATTAGTTAGAGATCGAGGAGTTTACTTATAAGATTTCTTGAATAAGACTTTCTATTTCAGTTGTAACAATGGCTGTAATATTTTGTTATAATTCTCTGTAAGACAATAAAATGGCCATTCGAGAGTTGAGTATTCAGTAATTGGAATGGATCTTGAGTTTGCAATGACTTGTTTTATGTCGGTTGATTGGAATTATGGTTTGGATGATAAAGTACAATTTAGTTATTATGTTTGATAATTTTTAACATTTTATACTTTAAATAATTTAAATTAGAACTTTTTAAGAAAATTTGTAATAAGATAAAAAGTTATAAATACCCACATCTAATGAGGCAAGGGTAGATTTTAAAAACATCCACCACTTTAAGTCGGGAGTGGGGATAGACATAAAATCAATCGTTGTGCTGTGAAATTGTGTCCACCTTGCAAGGTGGACATGGTTCTATATTCATAAATAATTAATGAACTATATGTTTACAATTATAAAGCTATATATTTATAATTTTTAAATTTCATATTCACAATTACAAAACTCTATGTTCGTAATTATAAAGCTATATATTCATAAATTTTTAACTTCATATTCACAATTATTGAATCTCTATATTTATAATTACAAAACGAGTTAATTCCAGCAATGGTCCTCTGACTATTGCGATTTTCCAAAATTAGTCCTCGTCTTTTAATTTGGACAAAATAGACCCTTGACTATTATATTTGTTCCAACATTAGTCCTTCCGTTAGAGATAAGTTAGTTAGGCGTTAGTTTAGGGGTTAAAATGGTCTTTTGCTTAGTTATTGTTTTCTTCTTCCTCCCTTGTCCGACCAGCCGGCGTTAGTGGATGGATTAATATTGTTTTTTCCAGTGTGGTCGGCGGCGGCCGTAGCTGACGCAATACAGCAGTACTATCATCAACATGAAAACAACTCTGACATTAAGGAATAAGCATGTCGTCATCGTCGCAGTACTGCAATATCATCCTGGCGTTCAACTCGGACTATGCCGTCAAACGCGAGCAACATAACTCGTTTGACCTAAACCACAATGTTTTTTCTCGAAGCATCGGGGGTGCCGACAAATTCCTGCGGCTAGGTTTGGAAGTATGAATAATTCTTCTAATAATTCTCCGCCGCGGCCGTCTCACTGGTTTCTTCAATCTCCGGCACCTACACAGACGGTGGTGGCATCAATAGGTGTAGCTAGTTTTCCGGCAACAACATAAGAATCCACGAACCGGATCACAAAGATCTTCATGTCCAGTGATCAAGGTAATCTTCATAATTCACATATTCCAACATTAAAGAAAATCAAACCTCCAAAATGCAACATATATTTTCATAAAATAATATTTACTCATATATATATATATATATATATATATATATATATATATATATATATATATATATATATATATATATATATATATATATATATATATATATATATATATATATATATATATATGTGTGTGTGTGTGTGTGTGTGTGGGTGGGGGGTTGTAAATTAAATGATTAATAAGCAGGTGAGGAAAGAAACACTTGGAGACAGGATAGCAGCTCTACACAGATTAGTGGCACCTTTTGGCAAGGTATAGTATTTTTTTAATGGACGGAAGGCTGTTTGATTTAAGAGGGGAAGATCGTAGGAGAAGAAGCGTAGGACTGCTGGTTTGACAAGGGAGGAAGAAGAAAGCAATAGCTAAGGAAAATACCATTTTAGCCTCTAAATTAACACCTAACTAACTGATCTTTAACGGAAGGACCAATGTTGGAACAAATATGATAGTCAAGGGTTTATTTTGTCCAAATTAAAAGACAATGACCAATTTTGGAAAATCACAATAGTCAGAGGACCATTGCTGGAATTAACTCATTACAAAACTATATATTCATGAATTATGTTTACAACTCTATGTTCATAATTATTATAGAACTATATATTTATAATTTTTAAATTATATATTCATAATTATGACCAATTTTGAAACCGTATCTACTTTAGATCAGACACAGTTCCACATCATAATTTGCCACATAAAATGTATAGGGATAGATCGAATGGTCAATGTAATTAGTCTTGACCCACTCCTAACCTATTATCCTCTCTATTATTAGAAGAAGATAAGATATATTTTGACAAATGAAAAGAAAGTTAGCATGAGTAGTTGGACTTTTTAGATAAAGCCCAAAAAATATACATTGAAAAACTAGAGGAAAATTATTGTAACAATAAATGCAGCTCGATCGAATTTTGCATATAACTTATGGACACAGTTATTGGCCCTGTTTGGTAAAATAGCTGTTAGTTGTTAGTTGATTGTGTTAATTAGAATGTATAAATAGTTGACAATATTAACTGATTGTAGAAAAGTGTTTGGTAAATTAGTTGTTAGTTGATAGCTGTTTGGTATAATTTCTTTTCTCAAAAATCTAATTGAAAAAGTTGCTTGGAGTAATTTTTTGAATTTTAATCTTTTGGAGTTTTAAAAAGCTAATTATTCAAACATTTATATTGATATTTTAACTAAATAAAACAATTAATAGTGGTCAAATAAGCTAAAATTGGCATATAGGCCAATTTTTTATCAAACAGGGCCATTATCTTATAAACAATATATAAAGAGGGACAACGAGAAGATTCAAATGAATTTGAATTCAATGGAGTGTATTCGTCTTCAACCACTGCTGGAAATCTCGCGTTTTCCGTCCAACATTTTGTTGGACGGAAAACGCGATATATTGGTCGGAAACGACGTTTCCGTCCAACATACCGACCAAAAGGAACGTTCGGAAAAACCTCCGTGGGAAATTCCGTCCTACTATGATTTTTGGTCGGAAATAGCGTCCAACGAACAAAAATTGGACGGAAATTCCGGCAAGTATCCCACCATTTTTAAAACGTGAGAATTTCCGTCCAACCATGTGCGTTGGTCGAAAATTCCGTCCAACTACGTGCGTTGGTCGGAAATTCCGACCAATGTTGGACGGAAAACTCACATATTATATTTTGTAATTTTCCTTCCAACTGTTGGTAGGAAAATCTTAAATCATATGGAATGTTTTTATTATTTTTATATTACCAAAATTTTATTTATATATATTGTAAATAAATTATATGTCATCAACAAATTAATGGACACACTAAATTGAAAATTGAAAATATATTTAAACATCAAAATTCTTTACAACAAAAATTATGGTCATGTTCATAAAAAAAAAAAATCATGAAAATATATACTAAATTGATACTACTTAAGTATGTTGCACCCAAATAAGCCTTCAAATCCGGCACTACTTCAATGGCTTTGATCAATGAAGCATCCACAACCTTCTTCAATGACTTTGATCAAGTGTAGACCTTCACCAAAATTAGACCGTGATAGATTTCAAAATGCAAAAATCATACAGAAAACATAAACAATACTTGGAAAAACAAACTTAGAAGTCTTTTCTCTCTTGCAGCTGCAAATGATCCAGCAGCAACAAAATCATCATAAGCAACCTGAGATAAACATTTCATCAATTAAACTTGAAATGCACCACCATCCATCAAAAGCACCCATACATGTTAGGGATATTCATGTTCCGACCAAAACCAATCACCTTTCGAACTCATGGTATTCTTGAGGGAACTGTTTTAGATACCTATGCATTTTACAAAATGATTTATGTTTGAGTCGAGGGTGTTCGAATTATTCTGTACTGTAATCCACACAACACAAAAGTCATCTACAATCAATGCTTTAATGTTAAAACTTTGTCTAGTATATATTTACTACAATTTTTTAAAACATCTGACCTGATTTCTAAGCTCCATGATCCTTGGTTCTTTTTCTAGATTTTCCCCTGTACAAGATGAGAGTTTAAAATGCATCTGTATATAGCATTTTTAAAAGAAACAGTTTCATGACAAAACTGGCTAGGAACTTACTAGCAAGCTGCAAAGTTTCATTACGAAGCTCATCCCTTACCTATTAGAAAATTAATAGACACGACGAAATAGTCAGACAGTTTAAACAATACAAGATTTTCACTCAGCACTCTGGCTTAAACTCAATAAAAACACAGATTTATGATTCAATATTCAGGTATATTAGGCACTTTCTTTAAGTTGCTAAAGTTCATGAAACTGGAAATGGGGTCAAAATTAATTCCTAGGAAGCAACTTTCCAGTTTCCTATATGCATTAATAAAAAATCTAGAAAAAGCTAAACACTAAATCAAATTCATTCCACACTTTTCAGCATTTTAAATTCATCAAACTAAATAAGCCTCCTAACCCAAATCCAAAATCTTTTGCTATTCCAAATTCACAAAAAAAAAAAAAAAACAAAAACAAAAACAAAAACAAAAAAACAAATAAAAACAAAAAAGGGTTAAAAAACATTAACAATAAACTTCAATCAGCAAAAACTCAAAGAAAGAGAGGAAAAGAATGAAGTTTAGCATAAACCAAGACTCATCCATCATCCATCTTCCGGCGAGTATATTTTGAGCGAAAAGAAAGCGAAGTTGCCCAAATCTGAACCGTCACCGAAAGAAAGAGCATTTAGAGCAAAAAGAAAGCGAATCCGTCTAGATCTGAGCCGTGCAGTTTGATTTTAGAGATTAGGAGAAGAAATAAATTACAAAAAATTCGAAGGGAGACTTACCAGAGGTGGTGGAGGCTAGCAGTGGCGGTGGCAGAGGCTAGCAGTGTCGACGGCAAGTCGAGACGGAATGGCGGCATCGGCGGTGGCATCTACTGCAGGTCGCGGCGGTTCACGGCTTCGAAGAAGAGGGCGGTTCGCGGCTTCGAATAAGAGGGCGGAGCGAAGGAGCGTCGGCTGAGAGATAGAGAGTGACGATGGAAGAAGCCCTAAGATCTGAAGATCTGATTTAATTTGCTAAGTATTTGGTTCGCGACTTGGGACTTGGGAGAATGCAAAAGTGGCTTTTTGGCTTCCCTCAGATCTGATTTAGTTTTATAAAAAAAAATATATATATATATATATGCGGGGGATTTTCCGCGGCACCTTCTTCAGGAGTGTTAAAATTCTTACCATTTTTAATTTATTAGCCAATTTGAGTTTACCAACCAACACTACAGGTTGGACAGAATTTCCTTCCAACATTGGATGTTGAACGGAATTTCCGTCCAACGCGCGAATGTTGGACGGAACTTCCGACCAACTTTCCGTCCATCCTTCTTTTGCGATTGAAAGTTGAAGTTTTTATTAAAATACCGACCAACTTACGGTTGGACGGAAATGTTAGACGAAAATAGCGAGATTTCCAGCAGTGAACCAGCTATAAATTAAAACTTTTTCAGCAAAGAGATGCATAAATAAAAGCTACGAACTCACTAATAGCATGTGTTGGTTCACAAAATGGATTTCAAGATAATAAAAATGTTTTTTTTTTTTTTTAATACTATGGACTTTTTTACATGTAAATTGAAGCCCAAAGCTCAAGGCTCAAACTCATGACCTCTTATTTGGGAGAGTTACTTTATGCCACTTGATCACAAGATTTTTGACAAATAATAAGAATGTTACTCCTTATTGAATGGAATAAATAATGAATAGAATATTAATTATATTACCTCGTTTGGTTCCTTAAGAAATAGACATTATAAATTTTATTGTTGTGTTTGATTGTTTTAGAGAACAGAGATGGAATAAGTATTTAAAAGACTAAAATAAATGGTATATGTGCCGTTACCCAGAATATTCTTAAAGCCTGCAGGGTGGAAATAGCAAGATTTGAAGAATGGACTACCTCCAGCATATTTAGGGAGCAAAATCGGATTGCGGATATATTGGCAGTTTCATCCAGAAAGGAAACTAGAGGTCTTCACCCTCTTATGGATGCACCGGATAATATACGCACCCTGTTAGAAGATGATGCCAATGGGTTCCCGGCATGGCGATTAACCATTGTATAATGCAAAAAACATTGTTGGCTTTTTGGATTTCCCCCATCCGATATTAAAAAAAAATGGTATATGTGTGTACAAATAATAATAATAATAATAATAATAATAATAATAATAATAATAATAAGTACAACTTAGGCACTAATACGGACAACGCTAGGAAAGCAAACACAGGGTTAGCAAGTGTCGGGGGCTTAGTTCGGAACTTCAAAGGTAATTGGGTTATGGGATTTACCGCTAAAAGATCGGGATCACTGATAGTTTCTCAGCTCAATTGTGAGGCCTAAGGGAGGGTCTACAGCTGAGGAGTGGTTTTACTAAACTCTAAGTTGAGATGGACTCGACGGCGGTAGTGGCAATTATGGACAGCCACGACAAAAGCGATGATGGTGTGATGACACTCATTAAAGATTGCAAACACTTGAGCAAGGGCTTTGATTCTATCTGGTTTTCTCACATCGCTCGAGAAGGGAATAGATGTGTGGATCACCTTGCGAACATGACACAAGGGATGGACTGGGGTACCACCTTGCTGGAGTATGCTCCAGATGGCATTAAAAATTTCCTTTTACAAGATGCTAATGGAGTTTGGATGTCAAAAGTTAGATAAGGCGTCATCGCGCTGCATAAACACACACATAAAAAAAAATTAAAAAGTTTATTTAAAAAAAGAAACATTTGTAACGTTTTCCCTATATTGTTATTATTATTATTAAGTCTATTATTATATAATAACAATAGTAATTTAAGTGGTGCAAATCAATAGGCTGACTAAGTATTAGAACTTAGTCAGCATTAGGTAATTGGTTACCTACATTGATAGGATGTAGGTTATTTAGACCCCTAAGTCCTCTCACTGCTCGGTTGACGTATCATAACACCTATCTAGAGTCACTGAGAGAAGTGAGAGAAACATAACTGAAACTTACGCACTAAGAATAGAAGGATATCTACAATAAGAATAGAAAAGAACTTGTCATACTAGCACTTTACAACACATTTGGTTAACAATATGATTTTCGGAGGAATACAAATCCTATTCCATAACGAATGGAATATAAGGGAAGGAATAGAATATAAATTTTAGAACAAATTCCACTTTTAGTTCTCGACTATTGTGGCATTGCCACATTTAGTCTTATTCTTTTAATTTTGGTATATTACATCTTTAACTTTGAACAACTCCCTCTTTTAGTCCTTGACTATTGCGGCCTTGTCATATTTAGTCTTATTCTTTAAATTTTTTTCATATTACATCCATGACTTTGAGCAACTTCCACTTTTAGTCATCGACTATTATGACATTGTCACATTTAGTCATATTCTTTTAATTTTATTATATTACATCCATGACTTTCATTTGATTGCCACCACTAATCTTCTGTTAAAATTTCCATTAATTTACCGTTAGAATTGACAAATAACAAAGGAAAAAATCCTTACACCTATCATAACTCATATTTCGAACGCATTAGAAATATCGTAAATATCAAGGATATAATATCGTAACTCATAGAAATATGAGTTACGATATGTGTAAGGATTTATTTTCCTTTGTTATATGAGTTATGATATTGCAACATAGTGATATAAGTTACGATATTGCAACATAGTGATATCTTTAAACGGTAAGTTAACAAAATTTGTAACGAAAGATTAATGGTGACAAAGAAAGTCACGGATGTAATATGAAAAAATTAAAAGAATAGGACTAAATATGGCAATGTCACAATAGTCGATGACTAAAAGTGAAAGTTGCTCAAAATTATGGATGCAATATGACAAAATTAAAAGAATAGAACTAAATGTAGTAATGCCACAATAGTCAAGGATTAAAAGTGAAAGTTGTTCAAAGTTAGAGATGTAATATGGCAAAATTAAAAGATAGGACTAAATGTGGCAATGCCACAATAGTCGGGGACAAAAAATGGAATTTGCTCTAAATTTTATTACATTATTTGATTTGCACCCAAAAAAAAAAATCAGACTTTAGAAATTGCATTCATTATTTGGTTAATTTAAAGAATAAAATTGATCTTAAAATTTTTTAAATACCCTATGACTTATTTACCGATCTCTCTCTCTATCGATCTCTCTCTCTCCCCCTTGTCGCCCTCGAACAATATGGGAAATAGTTACTCCGCATTTCTTTTGTAAGATGAATACCTCACTAGTCACTATTCCCGACAATAAAAAATCTTATTAAATAGTAAAATAAGTCTATTCTTAAGAATGCTATTTTATTTTTAGCTAATTTCATAAATCAAATGTGCTATTAGTGCTCCAATATTTTTTTATATATTTTATTAAAACTATTTTGTAGTAATAATAGTTTTTTTTAAATGTTACTGACTCTATTATAATGTAGTATCTGTTCATAGTAGTAATAATAGTTATTTATTAACAATTTCGTTTTTCTTGTTGAAGCTTTAAGGAAATAAGTTAATATTATTGTTCTTGTTGTCAATTTGTCATCAAGAAATTGACTGCATTTAGATTATTATCTCAAGAATATTATAAGTATATTTAGATTTTCTTATGTAATCAAATTAGTTACGCGTCATTATTTTTGTTGGATTAATGTGACACGATGCTAGTACTTATGAAATGAGTTAATTTCAATCTCAGTTATAGATTTATACGTCAGAGTCTATTTTAGTCCTTATTTTTCAGAACATCTCATTTTAGTCGTTCTAGTATTATTATGGCATGATCACTTTTGGTTCTCCGTCAACAAACGAAATTTTGATATTTTTTTTTGAACAAAGTGCGTTCACCCGTTATATTTATATTTTCTATTTTTAAAAAAAAATCATAATTGAAGACCTAAATGTCCTTGTATTTTACGAAATTTAAATGGTTTGGTTGATGATGGCTAAAAAATGATCATACCACAATAATACTAGGACCAAAGGAGGATGTTCTGAAAAAAAAAAAAAAAAAGTGGATCGTCACCTATAAATTTATGACAGAAAATAGAATTAACTATTTATAAAATTAATAAAGAGTTTTTCGCACTTTTGGTCCACAACTATTTTTTTTTTTTTTTCAAAAATGGTCATTCCGGCCCATTTTTCGTCAATATCTCACCGGAGTAAGAACCATTTCCGTCAAAAGCGGACTGAAAAATGCACCGGAAGGACCATTTTTACAAAAAAAAAAAAAAAAAAAAAAAAAAAAAAAAAAAAAAAAAACCAAAAACAAAAAAAAAAAAAAAAAAAAAAAACAATAGTTCATTTGAGTTCTCCAAAATCATATATAGAGTTGGAGAATGAAGATAAATCAGACAATTGAAGAGATAATTTTAATAAATAAAA